GCTACTGCATCTAAAAAAATACAGGTAGGTATAGGACATGGACTCAAATGCTACTTACCCAGCATAACACTGATTAAGCCACTGAGCTATTAAACCGTACTGTAACTTCTCCAGCTTCTTAAGATCTATATATAAGCCTTCTTTAGGACTGAGATATATATAAAATGGTTTTAGAAGTGTTCACTGAGGTCATTTTGGCTTTCCTTCTCTGCACAAAATTTGGTTTCTCAAAGGTACATAAAAGATTTTAGTTTTTCATGTAATTCACACCTGCAAATGCACAATTTGTAAATTGCAGAAGGATGTAATTAAAGTGTAAAATGAATAAATAAAACTGGTTCTGCAACAACTTATAGAAGATGGAAAGTCAATCCCTTGATTCATCAAGTCACTGATAATACAACTAAATTATAAAGTTATAAATATTTATGCATGATCATAAATTAAAACCATATAGATGGAATAGGAATATCCTTTGAGGATGGAAAAATATTACATTAATGTAGAATAGCATCTTGCCAGCACACTTAGGTTATATATTTGTTATTTTTATGTGTTATATTTCATGAAAGAAACTCCAGCAGATAGCTAATATTCTGAATCCATTCACCAACTCTCTTCTGGACTATCAGACAGCTACTGCAGTGGCTGCAGTACTGCCTCAAGTCAGTACAAAGGATGTTGTTTGTCTTGGGTGATGTTGGATCACCAGCAAAGCCAGCCCAAGGTGAGCCAGCCACCTCTCCATTCCATCCAGTCTCTTCCCACTGCTGATTCCTCTCCTCCTCATTGGAGCTGGTACAGTTCTGTTACTGCTGGAGGGAAACAATCTGGGAGCAAAGTGCAAACTCTCACAAACAAATCAACCAACCAAGCTGGCAGCAATACCAGTTCAAGGTGCTTACACTCATCCTGTCACAGGCCTTTTGTTTTTGCTCCTGTGTTTCAAGTAGCTCTCTGTGGACCAGTCAAACCATCAGTGATTGATACAGCTTAGAAAAGTTCTGGGAGCTCTTCTCTTTCTTAAATTAGACCATCTGTGTGATATTGTTTGCTCTGGAGGTGTTCCTACACCCTCACGCTGGCAAGAAGGATGAACTGAAGCCAGGGTCACAAGAAATAATAAGGCTGTCAATTGTCTCAACTAGTATTGCCACTGAGAAGAGAACATGGGGTACTGAACCCTGTGAGCAAAAATGAAGTAAAAAGGCATGTGTAACTGATAAAATTAATTAATTCCAGTACCAGGCTGCCTCATTCTCAAATATGCTAGCTCCTACTGTGCATTTCTAAGTCAAAGTAACCTGCTAATTGAGATACAACTATCAGAGAGGAAAAATAAGGAAGATGATGTCAAGTATATCAAGTCACAGTCAATCAGGAGAATTTTTGAAATTAGTATTATCTGACAAGGAGCTAGTGATCTGTCTGGGCTGGTGTGTGAGTCTGTAACACTGAGCTTGCTGCACATGCCATAAACTTCATCCACATAAGGACTTGACAAAAACTCCTTTAAATAAAGCACTGCAGCCACCTAGCCTTGAAAATATGCAAGTGTTCAGGAACACTCTGATCACAGACCAGAATTAAGCAAAATCCTTCAATGCAAATGGTTCTGTAGATACTTCAGAAGCCCATAAAAGACAGATAAGTTGAAAGCAACAACAGAAAAATAATCTGAATTAAGAAACAGAACAACCAAAAATCACTGAAAGGCAAAAGTGATCCATCAGTAAGTCCATCTCTCTTGAGTGCATTCTTACAAAGTTGCAGGACAGTCATTTTTACTTGGCTCATAATCAATTCTTGCTAATGCTATGGTTCTGCCTAACACTGATGAAATAAGGAACAAAAGGATCAATGCTTTCATTGTGTTTACTGGTAAACCAGTAATTAGTATAGAGGACTCAATCCTGAATCCTAATGATACATGCATTTGCTCAAGTATCTATTTAGACTGGCATCAATTATGAACAAACAACAACAGAAAGATGAGAATAGGAAAACAGTTTTACTTGTAGAAAATGTGGACAGAATAAAATATAAACCTGTGCTGCTGCTGTATAAGGGCATTCCTCATTTTCCACTGTGGTCAGCTTCTGTGCCATTCCCAGACCACAAATCACAAAGCCAACCTCACCTGCCTCCTCTCCAAAATACTCCAGTTGGGCACCTATTACCAAAAAAAATTCTTATTTCACTGAGATTACCTGCTCATCTGGACTCATATTCTGATTCCTGATCTTCTGAGGAGTAAAGACAGTAAAAATACTTTAGTAGTATCACACAGTAACACAAATTAAAGACAGATATTCCTGTTCTCCCTTCTCTAAAGGGAATTTTCAACAGATCAATCAGAACTTTGATGCTAGTTAAATACAAAAATTAATTTCTAATTTTCCACTCAGCTACAGAACTAGCTGAGAAAGAAAAAAATACACACATGATATAATCAAAACTGAGATGGAAAACCAAAAAGATTCAAAGAACAGCCACAAATGTACTTTTTACTTTCCAGCTACACAGTAGCTTTAGAAATTTCTCTCTTAAGAGGTATGAAAGAATTACAAGGAGGTCTAGTGTGGCAGTGTATGGCACATACATAATGAGAGCTACAGTATTTTTCTCTGATGTGTTTGGTGCTGTCCAGTGTCAAGAACAAGCTGCTATGAGAAACTATTGAGAACAGGCGTACATGAATCTAGCTGGATAGTCTATGCTCTTCTCATGGGCTGTTTTGTCATGTTATTTTTTAATTCCCTGGAAAAATTCAGACTCTTCATTCAAGAAAAATATATCCCATTTGAAACTCTGTCTAAGCTGAGTACATATACATTCATTTTTTAATCATCCCACTTGCAGATGCTTTATATGGAAAAAAAATCCCATCTCTTTATTACTGATATTTAATATCAACATGGTTAGATTGGTAAAATAACAAATCATATTTAAAAATTGTTTTCAATCTCAGTTTTTCTGCTTGCTACAGTTTAAGACAGATTCTTCAGAATAAAAATCCTGAAGTTTTGATGCATCTTTCTACATGAAAAGAACAGCCTTGTGCCATCCTCAGTGGTAGGAAGTGACAGGCAGAGCATGACATCACTCTTTATTTTTAACTGTCTGCCTTCTGGTGAATTTATTTTGCTGTCAGTACATATTACAGCAGTGTCAATGACATTCAGTTATTACGAAGACAGAAAACCTGAGCTGAGTTTGATTCCACAAGCAGGGAGTTGTTAACTTTTGAAGGAGAAACTTTGTTTCTAAATTTGGCACAATAGCTGATCTGCAGACAGATCAGCAGGAAGAATACATGTCAGAGAAATGCTGAAGTACCTATGAAAGGTCTACAACCACCAAAGGCATTCATGTGGATTTTTCCATTATAACCACACCACACAGACTCACCACTTACAAAAGCATAAAATCCTGGAGTCGAGAACATAGATTTAGTCAGCAAGTAATTGACTATAGATATTTAATTAAACTTGTCACCAGCTTGGCTTCATCAGATTTTAACAGCTTTCTATTATCACTGTATCACTTGTCTCCTTAATTCATTTGCATGTAATGTCTAAAATACGACAGGGTCAGTAAGCTTATTACCAGAGAAGAAAAATGTTTCTATCTTCCTACGGACTGTGAGAGTCCTCTAAATAAACAAGTGGAGAAACTGCACCTTCCTGATTCCCAAAGAGAACAGAAATCCAGCACACACCATACTTATGCTGCCTTGTCTCCATTGCCTTTCTAAATCTATTTGGCTTCTTTCTACAGAAAACATAGCCATTCACTAATCCAGCATAAAAGCACATTGTAGTCTTGACAACTATCACATCACAATTATTATGATTACTAGTAGAAGACTAGTGTACACAATATATACACAGTAATTAAAAGAGAGCCTAGAAAGACTAGAAAAACTAGATAAACGCAAGGGCAGAAAAAGAGGCGTCTCCCTCACAAAAAAAAAAAAAAAAAAAAAAAAAAAAAAAAAAAAAAAAAAAAAAAAAAAANAAAAAAAAAAAAAAAAAGAAAAAAAAGAAGTCTGGTCTTTTCTCTGTCCTTCATTAACACTCCCACTCCTTCATCCAGGCAACCATGAACTAACTAGTGGCCCAGAAGACACTAAGAGTCTGCAAACAGCACATACACAATTTAAAACCATAAGGGAATTACTTATTGGCTAATTCACGCAGCAGCTGGAATGAACGAGTCATTAATCCCTGTTGGTAAAACACCTATCAGTCGTGCCTGAATAAAGTAGTCAATCAGGCTTCATCTCTTTTTGCATCAGGCCAGTAGCTCTTACTCTTTCTGCCTTTCTTTCTCTGAGGATTCTTTATCTTTTCACACTTTGCTTGTTGAATCTATGAACTGCTGATACCATCTCAACAATTTTGATTCTGTCCACAAATTTACCTTTCTTATCATGCATAGCTCAAGGCCTTCTCAACATTTTCCCACAAGTAGTTTTCACAATTTTTGCAAAGTAAAAAGAAAGGTTATTTAGTTGAGCTGAAGAAAGAGGGTCTGCACCCTGAAAGCATTGTGTAGCCTACAAATTCCCAACAGTACAGGGGAATTGTCCCTCGCTGCAGGCTCCACCCGCGCCTATCCTCGCCGATAAACAAGTAGCGACAGTCACGACATGATGTGTCCCGGCTGGCTCAGGCGCCAGCCGCCACGGCTGGGAAGGAAATTCTGGAGCACCTTTGAGAGCATTCCCAAAGGGACTCGCCCGACCCCAGGGCTCTGCTCACGAACAGAAAAGCCACGACAGGACCAACGCCGCCCCGGGCTGGCGTCCGAGGCAGCGCCGAGGGCAAGGAGAAAGCACTGCCGTGCAGTGAAAAGCGAACCGCTTTCCTGCGTTCCCGTTCGCTTGTTTGCTCGTTCGCCTGCGGTATTGGCTTTATTTTCTTCCGGTGCACTCGCCGGCGCGGCGCATCAGCCCTGCCCGGCGTGCCCCTGCGCAGGCGCGGCTGGCGGCGGCGATGGGCGGGCGGGTGACCCGCGTGTTCCGGAATTTTAACGTGGAGAACCGGGCCAGCCGCGAGATCAGCAAAGAGAAGCCCACGCCCGCGCCGCGGCACCGCACCGCCCGGCTGGACACCATGGCCGGTGAGTACCGGCCTCGCCCGCCCGCCCGCAGGGTGACCCCGGCGGTAGGAGCGGTCTGTGCGGGCCCGGTGCGGGGCCGCGGCGCGGTTAGAGGAGAGGCAGGGCGGGTGCCGGGTGCGGGCTGTGGGGGCGAGGGGCGACGGCGAGGCCGCGGCGCTCCCGGTGCTCCCGGTGCAGGGCCGGTGACATTGAGCGCGGCGCTGGGCGCGCGGGGCATGCCGGGAGCCGCGGCGGACCGGGGCGAGTAGAGCGGGCAGCGGCGTGAGGGAGACTGATGGAGGGGTCTGGGAGTAGCTGGGTGACGGCGGCGGTGGCTGGGACGGCTGCGGGGGGCGGTCGGTGTCAGTGGTTGATGGGGACAGGAGGTGGGGGCAGTTGATGGGGCAGGTGGTTCCTGGGACTGCTGCTGGAGGCGGTGGAATCTGGGGTAGCTGCGTTGGCGTCAGGTGCCTCAGGGTTGCTAAAGCAGCGCTTCAGAGCGTGTGCATCCCGCCGTGCTGTGACAGGTGACCGGTGACCGGCCCGGCCCCGCCGTGTGAAGCGGTGTCGCTAAGGTCAGGGCTCCGGGAAGAATGGCACCCTCCCAAGAAGGCACGAGCATTTGCGGGAGCCATGCCGTGCCTCACTGGGTAAGCCATGAGCTGGCAGAACTGACAAAAAAGAAACTATTTGACTCAGATCAATATTTTCTTTTTTTTTTTCCCCTTCCCTTCTTCTTCTCGCTGTCTTTAGATAGCCCAGAGATAAAAGAAGAAGTTCTCAGAAAGGATGATCAGTTCCTCACCTTGCTCAAAGATGTTTATGTCGAGTCCAGAGATCCACCAGTGCGGGTGAGTGTGTGTCTCTGTATGAGCCATTCCAGCATCAGCTTTGTGGTCTTCAAACTCAGCACAAAATCAGCGTCAAGAAAAATGGTCTTTGTGCATAAAAGCTGCCTTTTCTCAGTAGATAAAAGTGGTGTTTTTATTACTCTTCTATACTTCAGACTGTGTCTGAAGGGTTTTGAATGTGTGACAGACTGTGATTATACAAGCTTGTAAATATTGACACGGTCTTCCTTTTTAACACAGCATTAATCTTACATGGTTTTTCACCTAAATTCCCATTTCTGCTTCCCATGAGGCAGAATAGTTATCCAGCCTTTTGTAAAGATAAAGTAGAATGCCAGAGATAATTTGTGGAGTTGTTAGAAGAGACTGGGACTGCTGGGCGAGCAGGGATGTGATAGAGGACAAAGATGTTTACTCATTAATGGAGTCTTTAACTCTATTTAATTTTATACAGTGCAGAGACTTTTTTTTATCCAGCTCATGAAGTGTGCCTTGGGCACATTTTCTACATAATCGTTTTGGTTGTATGGTCATAATTTCCTTATTGCCACTGGCTGCAATCTTTTACTTGAAAGGCAAAGCATGCTCCTTTCAGTGTCCTCTTTTCCATCATATTGTGTGTTTTACCTTTTACATTATTGGACTGCTTTATTCCAGCTGCTTTATTCAGCAATAAAATTTTTAGTCATCTAGCAAAATCCCTAAGTCTCTCTAATTTGCCATGTATATGGTATTCAAGTCGAAAAATACTTAAAATGCAGATAGATTTCTTCAATCTCTGCCTGAAATTTTCAAGAAATCTCTATCCTTAATTTCCATCACAGAGGTTAGGACTTTAATCTTGAAATGCTGAAGGTCTAATTTCAATAACTTTCAATATTCATGTATAAATCTGTCAAGAGGGATCTGAGAAAAAGCCCAGAGTGGAACAAATCTTTGCTTGATTTCATGCCTACTCTGAGTTTGCTGCCATGGACTTGCCCTTGTGCTGTGTCTTGCAGCTGTTAAAGCACAATTGAAGTGAAATCACAGAGACCTGTGGGCAAAGCAGTACCAAAGCTTTCTCCCATTCCTGACGTTATCCTGATGACTTTGTGCATTGTTTATATGATGTGTACACATCTCTGTATATATTTGGGATATCTGCCTGTGGTAAGTGGAAAAGCACCAGGTTGGGAGTCCTGCGGTGGCAGATTCCCAGATATAGATGATACAATTAGGAGTTGAAAAATCATTCATTATCCAAGCACAGTTTTAGGAAAAAGTAGAAGACATGGTGTACAGGCCAGACGTTCCTTGTAGCTCAGAAACAGACTCACAGGTGCTGCAGCATCCACGTCAGTTTTCTCAGCTTGTGAGTTGATACAGAGTGTCTGTGTAATAATCAGTGGTTGTGGGCTCTGATTACTATATAAATATTTTCAAATTTAAGAAAGGTTTATTTGTGGTTTGTTTTTTTTTTTCAGTGTGATTCACTGATTAAATGTTAATAAAAGGAAATATGAAGAGGTAAAAGCTGTTTTGGAGATTATTTGGAAATGTGAAGAGACCTTAGAGACATGTTGCAGTAGACAGCAATTAAACTCCATATGATGCTGCAAAATAGCAGGAAAGCTTGTTCTCTAGACAGACCAAAAGAAGGAATTTCTTTTAGTAGCAAAACTAAAATTAGAAAACAAAAGGAAGGGGAGAGAGACTAGATCAGAAAGTTTTTTTTATCAGAAGGATACCGATTTGTTGTATGATTTTTTTGTCCCTTCCAATGAATATTAGTTATCTGGATTTACATTTGCCTTCCAGAATCTGTAATTTGCTTTGTACGAAGGGCTGCCAAACCAATACAACATTTAGAATGCAGTGAACAGGAGCTTTTCAGCATTTGGTTGGGAGTTGACACTCTATGTAGAATGTCTGTGGAAAAAGCTATGCTGGTTAAGCTTTTTTAAAAAAAATGGGGAAAGCTAATAGGAAATGCCATATTTAGGAAAGCAGCTTAGCTGCTACAGTATGCATAGTAAACAGAATTGCTGTTGAGCTCTTTTTGTTTTCCTTCCCTCAATTAGGTAAAAGATGGAGGTGGTGAACATCTTCCAAGTAAACAGGAGGAAAAGAGACTTACAAAATTAGGCCACTTGGAAGCTCTAGACGTTAAGAAAGTTTCCAAAGGCAAAATTTCCCTTGTGGAGGCTCTGACACTTCTTAATAATCATAAACTTCAACCTCAAATATGGACTGCAGAGAAAATAGCAGCAGAATATAGTCTGGAACTGAAGGATGTCAACTCTCTTCTGGAATTCTTCATTCCTTTCACTGTGATGGAATTTCCTAAAGAAACTAAAAAAGCCATAACAAGCCATAAACCAAAACAATTAACATAAAAATACTTGCCAAAACCTTTTGTGATCTCACTTGTGTCTTCATTTTACTCTCAAATATATTCCATGTCTTCAAGGCTGCTTCCTTATGCCAGTGAGATGTATTCAAGCAGTTCCATTCTAAATTGGATGGCTTCAGTGAAATGCAGCAACTACAGTTTGTAAACCAGAATATGACTAATTCATGGTATGACAGGATGTCACACAGTTCTTATTATCCCATTGAAATGTTGAGTTCAGTTAAAGCATTTTACCTTAAAATATTGTCTTTCTCAGCAGAGACTCCTGGCCTGCAGCTGAAGAGGTGCACTGTGGGTGTTGGCTCTGTAATTTCATGTTGCACTGTTCTTTCAAGGACTTACTGTCAAGGTGTGTGTNGAGACTCCTGGCCTGCAGCTGAAGAGGTGCACTGTGGGTGTTGGCTCTGTAATTTCATGTTGCACTGTTCTTTCAAGGACTTACTGTCAAGGTGTCTGTATTTCTTTTGTGTAAGAATGGAATGGTATTTATACTTTTTAAAGAAGGTTAACCACAAGGGCATTTGGAAAGTTCAGCTGACAAACATAAAATAAAAAGAAGGTGAACAGCAAGAAGGCCTCTTTCTGGTGCTGGAACAATAATGGCTCATATATAACTCCTCTTCTACTCTATTCTGATTTAGCTTAAATACATGCACCTCTCCAGGTGCTGTTAGGGAATTTGTGGAGTGATGATCTTGTGGTGTAAGTCTCTTGCAGCAGCCCATGGCATCTGCTGTATGAGGAGCAATGCTTCATATTAATAGGTAGCAAGGACATGCAACTGGATGTACTAATTGGACCCACTAGTAGGACTACTTTGAATGTTTTCCCATCCTGTTACAACAATCCTTTTTCCCTATGGAAGCTTTGTCTGATCTAAATGTGGGCTAGAGCAGGTCATGTTTACTCCCAGCATACATGTAGACACATGACACAGGGATGACACAAACTGTGAGGTAATGTGGTCAGATAAGCTGGGGAGATGGGGCAGCAGAAAATCAGAATTGATACTTAAAAATGCATTATGGTTGCCTTCCTTCAAAAAAAAACAAAAAAAACACAAAAACACAAAAAAACCCAAAAAACAAAAAAACTCAGAATCTTTTATTTTATGCCTGTCACCAAAGAAGGTGAATTTAAGGGGTATAAGTCAGTGCCAGGCTTACAATGTAACTTTCTTTTCAAGAACCTTTCTGCCAAATCTTTGATTTGGAGGTTCTGGTAAATGTCTTACCAAGACGATGATCAGTTTTGTTATTTCACAGCAAGATTCCCTCACCTTCTCGGAGTTGGAACTGTACTGGTATCTCCAGTACAGTTTGCCACAGAGTATTTGAAGGTTTATGTTTGATTAATTTCTGAAGTACATAACGCTGTATGATAGTGGAAGATGACACTATGTGCATTGTATCAAAATTGAAAAGTCTTCGGACGTGGCGGTTGTCATTTGTCCTCTAATACAATGGGGTACAGAGTTGCACTCTGAAACTAATGCATGTGAGTTATGTACCACATTAAGATTTCTTTGCTTTGCACAAAATACTCTGTTTTATAAAATGTTGTAACAAATACTTAATTGAGTACTGTTCATCCTAATGTAATAGTTAAGGTAACATACAGAAAACAGCTGTGGAATGCATTTAGGACAGATATTGTTGATATGGAAGATGCTGCAATTTCCTTTAAAATGAATTTTAATTATGGATTGAAGTTGGATTAAAAACACACTACAACCAGCACCAGACAACAGTTTAACCATGCCCTTTGACCATCTTGATATGTATTTTGGCAACTTTTGTCTGCCTTGATGAAAAATCTTGTGATGTAGCTGTACCATGACACTTTCACTTTATGGTACACTGCTGTGCTGCTTACACCTTCCAGCAGGCATTTACTTTGGGATGTTTGGTGTCATCACATTCAGTGTCCCAGCCATTCTTTCAGGACAAAATCCTATCCACAACTATGATGATTGCAAAGCTATTCCTTGTCTCTGTGGAGCCAGGATCTCTTCCTCACAATACATTATCCACAGTGGGAAAGCAGATGTCCCACAGCAGAGTTGGTGGAGGGATCCATCTCCCTGCAAGCAGGTGAACTTGTGGCCCAGAAGGCTTCTCTGAAGCAGGGTAGTTCTCTGGCAAAGTTAGATGCAATGCAATTTGTCAGCACAGATTCTTCTGCTGGTCACCTGCTCCACCTGCTGGGCAGCATCAAACCAGTATTACAAAGGTATTGCCAATGGTACAGGATCATGTAAAAATTTGTACCATTATCTATCCAAATTATCTGAGGTCTGAATGTTTAGCTTTCATTATGTCTTCTGACACAGAGCATGTTAGTTGCCCAAAGCTCACAAGAGCCAGGAGCATGGATCTTTACTCTGATGGGAAAGCCTGTTCCTGATGAAGCTTTCCAGCACTACCATCTTGTCCTGTGTAAGATACTGACCACAGCGTGTGTGTGCCTAGAGTGTTCTAGTAAGTATGAGTTTGAAGGTGATGCTGTCTTTAGAGTTGATGAGTGGAACAAGACTATTCTCACTGTTACATCTTTTCTAGAACTCCTTATATATATCCTTTCTTTCAGTTTCAAGGAACATCTTACTCATCAGCAATATTGCCTGGTTACTAGTTTCTAATTGTAAGAATAATGTTATTTTCTTTACACTTGAAACATGGTTTTGTCTGTGTCCCTTTATGTCTATATCCCTTTCCTGTTTGGCTGTCAGCTTAAAAAAGAGGTATTCTTCAAGCAACTGTTTTGAAGAGGTAATTATGGGAAATTTATGGGAACCTGCAGTTCAGTTTTCAGGCACTTCTATGTGAAGAATTTTTCATGTCTCATTGCCATGCATATGGTGAAACAAGTTCAGCTCAGGTGGTTTTGGCCACCATATAGAAACATTACATTTGGTAAGGAACAACCTGTCTCACTCAGACTGCTTTGTTATTATGGAATTCATGTACAATGTGTAACAAGTATTAGCTTTGTGAACCTGTAAGAGATTTGTTTCATTTCTAGTGTGGCACACGGTTGACAAACTTCTTATATGTGACATTATTATACCAGTTCTTCAAAAGTTACTGAATAAATCCAAGGCTACTTTGGGCACTGATACAGAGTGAATACACAGGAGCAGGCTGAGCCTCATTCAAAAATGAGGATTACATTCCTGGTGAGACATAAAATCAAATTTCTTCAGGGAAGTTAAATTTTCTTTTAAATTTTCTTAAAAATTTTTGAAAATAATTTCTTTAGGGGGAGTCTAGTAGCTAACTTACTCAGGTTTTCTTGGACATAGTCCTGTTTCTCTAGCCTTGTCCTATCACTAAGTCTATTCCCAGCCTTCTGAAACCAGTCTTTGCTGCTATGTAAACTTCATGCAGTTGCATTCTTGCTCTGTTCCAGATCATATGCAAATGTTGGTTGTGCCCTTTCAGTAGCAACTATTTTATTTCTTCAGATCTCTCTTGCATTTTAAGAGTAGCACATCAGCTGAGGTAAAGAGAAGACAGCACATTTTGCACTGCAGAACTTACAAATAGGACAGGATTTCAAAAGGAATTCAGCTTTCACATCTTCAAAAGCTGCTCTTTAGGGATATATGAACCCAAGTAATCTGTCTCATCACATCATTGCAGCTTAGTTCCTGCAGACTGATGGCAAGATAGCAAGATTGGAGCTGTGAGGCAGGAGTGAGTTTTAACTCTGCTGCCCATGCAGTTTAGTCAGAGGGACCTTCAGTACAAAATGGGATTTTTCTGTAGCCTCCCAGCACAGAGAACTGGTCTTTTAAGCTGCCTTTTTTTTTGCTCAAGGAGAAAAGAAAATTATATATGAAAGGTGTCTTTTAAACTTAAAAAATGGAATGTCATATTTCTGTATTGGAAAATCAAATCAAAGCTCAAGTAGTCAGGATCAAAATGCAGAAGTTAGAAAAGGTGGCTGTCTCATTTGTCACATGTGAGCATCATGCTTGCATGTTTGAGATTGCATGAAGCTTCCCATTTAACAACTCTTCCTGAAGCCTCTTTCTATGCAGGAGTTTCCTGGCTCTTAATCAGAAGATGCCAGTGTTGAACTGACAGGGCAGGCATGACTAGAACAGGTGAGCTTCAGGTGCAAACAGATTTTATACTTGAGACTGTAGCAAGTTGTACACCAACTGATGTGCCATTAGCAATCAGAAGACTCTATTGGTGCCTGTTATTAAATCTGTTTCTAGCAATCTAAAAGTCTAGTGAATTCTGTTAACCTTTCACAATTGAGGTACTGCTGCATTGTTACCAGAGCTAAGTATTTTCTGCTGAAAAAAGCCACAAATCCCTGGATTAAATTCTCTTAGAAACTTAACATTAGTTTTCTTGGTCTGAAAGAGAGACAGCAGCAGTGGTAAGTAACAGAAGCATATCTCCTGTATCATGCTGGAGGGAGAGCACTGTGGTGCTCTTGTGCCTCTGCAGGATGGAGTGGGGTTTGATGTGTCTGCAACCAGGAAAAGAATTTTAAAAATAAGTCTGCCAAGATGGTTCTTTTGTGGCTGTTGTGCAGAATCTCCTTTCAGTGTGGGTTACTTCAACTGCAGAAGCTGATTTTAGGTGAGATGTTTATGGTTATAATGGTTATAATTGCCTCTGATGGCAGAGCGAAGAGATAAAAGGCGGAGTGTTCGAGACATTTCCTCTGACCTAAAGCATGCCCTTTTGTTAATTGCACAGGGCTTTGTTCCAAAAAACCAACACAGTTCATGACTGGTCAGCAACGTGTTGAGTGTGAAGTAGAGGCAATGAAGTAGGGGCAGAGCACGGTAAGCCTGGATGGTTGGATCCTTGTTCAGCTGCCATATGTATGGGAATTGTGCATTGCATGTCACCCTTCACTGCTCTCTGTTGCAATCTCTGGTGTTCACAGCACAGCACTGTAGTCTAAAGGATGCCACAGACTGATGGTTAGCTGTTCCTTTGTAAAGTGGGATTGTGAATTTGCATCCATCTTAATGTCAAGC